GTGTGGGGCGGTTGCCCGTCGAAGGGCAGTGGGGGTTTGTTTATGTGGGGTGCGGCGTGGAACGGGAATGGGAAAGATGTTTTAAAGAGGCGGTGAACGAAGCGGAGCGACATGTGCGGGAAGGGGGGGGGGACAAGCGCAGCGAGGTTGACATATGAGAGCCGTGTAACGGACGGGCGGCTAGCGGGCCACTCACAACGCACTGGCGCATCTTACACCACGTGACGTGGGCTTACAGAGCTTCGGATCATGGAGCCGGTTTCGTGCTCCGACACGTGGACACGAGGCAGAGGGAGGCGGATTTGTGACGACGTCAACCTTCGACCGGATTCGGCCACACCCAATGGCGCAGTGCTTCGAGACATCACCTCCTCCCGATTGCTCTTCCGCGATCCGCACCTCTTCGGTACCTCGCACCCAGTTTCGACGCATGAGTCACCGAGTGGATGCGTTAGGAGACGGGCGGACACCACCCATCTCCGAACACACCATCCCCCACTCCTACCCTCCCTTCCCCTCCCGCGTTTACCGTTCACCATGCCTCCCGCGTTCCTCTCCCCCATTCCGCTCTCCTCCGCCCGCCCATCTCCACCCCGTCTCTCCCGCCCGCGCACCACGGCAAGTCTAACCACGCCGCATCCGCGCCCATCCGTGTCGCGCTCTCCGCACTTTCTCTCGCAAGCCACCGCGCGCGTGCACCGCCTCCACCAGACGCTTCTCGAGTTCGAGCGTGCCACGCGCCCGGGGGAGCTCCCGCATGCGTCCGCCCCGAACCGTTACGAAGCGCTCCCGCCGCATGTCAAGGGCCCCTCGCAGATGCTCGGCCGCCTCTCGCCGGGCTGCGAGGGCACGCGCGCCGTCTTTCCGAGCTGCAACTTCTCGTGCACACCGTGCTACCACTCCGCCGACGCAAACAGCGTCCGCGTCGACGGCATGCACACCGTCACCGAGATTGCACGCCAGATGGACTTTCTGCGGAGGGAGCGCGGGCCCGTCGGCCATTGCCAGCTCATCGGCGGAGAGGTCACGTTACTACCACCCGAGGATCACGCCCTGGCGTTGGAGACCATGCGCTTTTTCGGACGCATCCCCATGTCCTTTTCGCATGGCGATTTCGATTACGACTACCTCAAACGCTTGGCTGTCAAGGATGGCCGCCGCCGCTTCGACAGGCTCGATTTTGCTCTCCATTTCGATATGGAGATGCGGGGACGCAGGGGCATCCCTCGCCCGCGCAATGAGTCCGAATTGACTCCATATCGTCAAAAGCTTGTCGACATGTTTGAACGACTGCGCCGCGAGCACGGCGTCCGATACTATCTCGCACACAACATGACCGTCCAGGCCGCTAACTTGCCATATATCGCCCAGGCCGTCCGCGAATCAAGGGCCATGGGTTTCCGTCTCTTGTCCTTCCAACCTGCCGCCCAGCAAGGGGCCGAGAAGAGGTGGGTAGACAACCTTCGGTCCATTGCCGACGATGACGGCGAAATGGTGTGGCAGGAAATCGAAAAGGGCATGGGCATTCGCTTACCCTACTCTCTTTTCCAAATGGGCGATGTCCGCTGCAACCGCATGTGTGCCTGCGCCGTCCTAGGGCCCAAGGGCGATCCTAATGTAAAGATCTTTCCGCTTTTCGACGATCGATGCCCGCAGGACGCGCGCTGCAGGGACCTCATCGTCACAAATATTGGCAACATCGTCATGATGCCCCACCTCCTTGCCGTGAAATTAGTCCGCACTATTTTGACAAGGCCATGGCTTCTCATCCCCGCTCTGCGATGGTGCCTCCGCATCATTGCAAGAGCGGGTGGCTTGTGGCCCATTCTGCACAGGGGAATTCGACCCCTCACCATCGTCATGCATCGCTTCATGGATGCAAAAGACGTGTCTAAGGCCTGGGACCTTATGGATGACGGTGTGTCTAGTGATGATTCCCGCGTCGATAAGGCAGGCCCCCGGATTCGAGAAACCATGGAACGCTTGGCATCCTGCTCGTATGCCATGGCTCAACCGGATCAAGGCCGAGTCGTCCCGGCTTGCGTTCAACACAGCGTCTACGACCCCGTTGAGAACAAGGAGCTCGCACGACTCCTCTCGCGACGTGACAAATCGCAATCGGCTACACAAGCCGAGGTCGATCGCATCCGACGGACAGACTTGTCTAACCAACAACAATCGTTAAATACCAACTCGAGTGAGCAAGGGTGTGGCACCACTTGTTCCGGCTGAACCACAGAAGTGGCATTGTTTATCCAGGACCATGCGGAAGCGAGATAGATAGCCCCGCGCGCAAGACTCTTGTACAGACATACATAGCACCTTCATATTCTTCTTCTAAAGGCTTGGTGCGTGCAGAGAAAGTGCAGGTCCTAACAAGACGCGCGAACGGCTTGTCTTTATAATCGCGCTTCAAGAGCCGATCTCCACGCACGTAACAACTGTTTTTGTCTTGCACATTACAGCCCAAACCTCGTCTTTTCCATTGTTAATTCTTTTGTCCGCATTATCAAATAGCAAACAGCCGGCTATGTCCAGCTTTCAAGTCGAGCCCTCAATTGCATTGCCATGCGAAAAGCTCTTTCATACCCTTCCTCGTACCCTTCGGAATATGCCCGAGATGCATAGACGCTCCATCCATCTTTTTCGTCACTGGGCAGCTTCCCTTCAGGACTGCGTTTTTCTTCTATCACATTGTGTATGCCCTCGGCAAGCTTGCTGTTTCTCGCTTCATCAGATTGAGTGTTGAATCCGACATCAGCAACCTGTCCATCTGCAACGCAAGTTAATTCAGGTTCCCCCGTAGACAGAGCATCTTCCATTACGTCCCAAGAGGTATCTATGTTTTCTGCGTCGCCGGCCTGTGCGTCCTCTATTTCCGGAATCTTGTGCCGACTCTCAAAACCATCGGCACGCCTTGACTCTTGTATATTGTCCAAACCTCGTTCTGTCCCCTCAATTTCCATGCTCTCTGCAACCTCCCCTTCACCTCCATCAGTACTTCTCTTCCGTTTCTTTCTCGTCCCGTCAGCCTTCACCTGAGTAACCCCTTCCTCGACAGCTTCAGAGAGGCGCGGGGCCAGCATTTTAGTCATACTAAAACCGAGTCCTTTTTCCATTGAATGCAATTCAGCTGCCTCGTCACCGCTGTCATGTATGACGACAGAGAGTCCAAGCTTTCCAAAGCGTCCCGCTCTCCCTACTCGGTGCAGATAGGTCGCGGAGTCATGCGGTATGTCCAAATGCACGACTAGATCACAAATGTCGATATCGACTCCCCGAGCAAGCAAATCCGTCGCGACGAGAACTTGAAGGTTGCCGTCAGCGGCTGATTTCATAATTGCAGTGCGCTCAAGCTGGCGAATACCGGCGTGAATGTCCGCACTCGCGAAACCAGCCCGGCTAAGCCTATCGACAACACTCTTGTTGCGTTTCTTACTGTTTGTAAACACAATGCAGAAGCTGAACGGATTCTTTTGAATCAAAGCAACCAATGCTGCCGTTTTCGCCTCTAACTTTGTCTCGCTTGTGTTCACACCTCGTTCCACTTGGATTTTACGCTGACGGACACCAAGAAGTACAGCCTTTTGATTCGGATCTGCTGCATTCGTATCCTTCGACGCTGTGCTTGCGTCTTTTTCCCCGACTTCTTCACTAAGCTGTGGCCGTCTTTGAACTTGAATGTGCGTTGCATTGCGCATGACCTTGCGTAGCAAAACCTGTAGTTTTGCCGGATAAGTAGCCGAAAACGCCAACGTCTGCTTGCGCATGGGGAGCATTTCACAAATTCTCGGAACTGTATCCCCCAACGATCCATCAAGCAATCTATCAGCCTCGTCCAATACCAGCAGCTTCATCGCTGCGACCCTCAAGTTCCCCCTCTCCACAAGTGCAAGCGCGCGTCCCGGCGTCGCAACGGCGATCGCCGGCGGTAGCTGGACTATTCTCGCTGCGTCCTCCCGCTCAGGACACCCACCGATAAAGAGCGAAACATGCGGGGAATTCTCAAAACCGTCACACAGACTCTGCGTCACGCGCGCTATCTGGGCGGCCAGCTCACGGGTAGGGGCGATAAGGAGCGCTGCTGGACCTTGCAAAGAAGAAGAGGAAGCGGCGGCTTCCGCAGCGACGATACCGAAGACTAGCGTCTTGCCGGTGCCTGATTTCGCCTGAACGATAACGTCGGCCCCCAGGCGGGCGGCAGGTAGCGCCCGCAGTTGAACTGGGCTGGGGTGCGTGATTTCTTGACGCGCGAGGGCGCAGAGAATGGGGGGCGGTAGGGCGAGGTCGGAAAAGGTTAACCCGGCGTCGGGGCCGGACAGCAGGACGTCGGCAGTGCGGGTGTTTTCCGGGGTCGCTATGTGCTCGGACAAGGCCGGCAAATGTGCTGGGACGCGGCGGATCGGGTCAGACGGGGAGAGCGAGTAGAGTCGATGGTGACGAAGGGAGAGTAGGAAGGAGATTCCGTACACATGACGCTGTGGATGCAGCGGCTGCGTCCACACGTCTGAGGCTGGATGTGCATGGGACAGAAGCTCTTGGACTTCGGCAAGATCCGAACTGAGACTTGGCTCATCCACGCGACCGGCCATGCCATCCGCAAAATCGTAATGGCCGACCTCGCCGAGACGCAGTTCGCCCAGGACAGAAAGAAGCGGGCACCTGTTAACAAGAGCCAAGGAGTGAGTGCTATGACAAGACGCTGTCGAGCACAGACGACGTGGGCACTGTGATGGCATGGGCTCTGCGGTGTCATAGCTCACGGTAACCTATACACGTGTACATTGGCGACATGATCTCATGTCAAGATCGCTCGCGAGGGAAAAAAGCACAGCATCGACGACAACAATTGGCTTGGCATTGCTTCTTCGGCAACCAAGCACAAGGTCAATTCTATTTTGAGGGATGGCAATGTTCAACAGCGCTCTCTGTTCAAAAAGCAGTACTTTGAACGTGGCAATTATAGGAGAATATGGAAAACTTGTTCTCCTGCCATGTTGACAAAGTGGTCTTGTCTAGGAAGCTCATTCTCCAGCCACAGCGTCAAGTAAGTGCCCACTCAGGATTGCTGCTTCGATGATGATTGATGAGCATGTGGCGTAAGCGTGAAAATTTTATGTTTCTAGCTAGTAGCTTCATTGTCTTCTGTGACGAATGCCTCGCTGTAGTCCTCTGGGAGTGAAGTCACGATTACATGGTGCACATACTTTCTACACAAGCTTTATTTGTTTGTGCGCCACTTCCGGTAGCAATGCTACGTGCTGTACCATCGCGATGCCCAGACTGTGTTGATGTCACACAGTTTCATGTTGACATGTTGACATCAACATGTTCTTATCATCTTGCATCAGCTCCCGTCTTCTGGTCCAGCAATGCAGTGCAGTGGAAGTAGACGATGTCCTTGCTGGTCCGTTTCCAGAAAACGTGATTGATCTAAACTTTCAGGATCTTTGATCCAAAATACGTCCGAGGGAAACCAATCATCTTCTGATTTTTTCGCGCCAAAATTTGTACACAACTCCGGAACAGCTGGTACTGGGATCCTCTCACCAACTCTAGCGGAGCAGCAGTCTCCCTTACGCTGCACTGCGGCTCATCCATCTTTCCTCCAGGACCCCCGATTGCCAAGTACGTTACCCATCTCCTATCTCTTCCCTTAGAAGCCCTTAGAGACCCTCCCCCTTCATCCTCTTTCAAATCAATCCTCATTCACTCAACAGTGCTGGTCGCAATGCAGGCCAACCTCCTCGAAATCGCCTGGCATGACAAGGCGCCCGTCTGGAGCATAGACATATCGCAATCCAATCGTGTGGTCACGGCAGGCGGTGACAAAGTCGCCCGAGTCTGGCGTCTCTCCAACACTCCCGCCCTTCGAGTGAAGCCCGTCGAATGGCTCTGCGACCTCCGCGCCCACCTCACAACCGTTAATATCGCCCGATTCTCCCGCTCCGGCTTGGCAATCGCCACAGCCGCCGACCAGGGCGACATCGTTATATGGCGTCTTTCATCCGACACTGATGCCGCAGCTGCGCCGACCCCGCTGCAAGTTGCATCGGAGGGAACCGACGCTGCACCCACCCCGCAGGAACGCTGGGTTCATGAAACAACCTTGCGCGGTCATCATCAAGATGTCCTCGACTTATGTTGGTCCTCAGACGGCTCCACTCTCATCTCAGCCAGCGTTGATAACACCATCAACATCTGGGATGCTTGTAATCCCAGCGCCCGGCCAAACGTCATTCGCGCCCATTCTAACTATGTCCAAGGCGTTGCCATTGATCCTCTCTCAAAGGTTATTGCCTCACTCGGAAATGACAGGGCTCTTCGCATTTTTGCCAAGGCCGGCGCTGTCCCATGGGCCCAGGTCGCAGTCGCAACTGCCATCACGGCCGATTCCAAACTCTTCGCCAACGATACGCAGTTTAAAACCTTTTTCAGAAGGCTGCATTGGAGTCCTGACGGCTCCGTGTTAGCTTGTCCATCTGGACTGCAATTTCCAGAATCTGAGCGCATGTTTGCTGTTCATTTGTTTGCCCGAAATCACTGGTCACTCCCGGCTGTGCAATGCGGTGGTCTGAAAACCCCTGCCTGTGCTGTGCGCTTTAGCCCAGTCCTGTATGCATTGCGACAGCAAGAGACCATATCTGACGACAAGACAACTGTACAATCCCATTCCCAATCATGTCCATCATCCTCGTCAGTTCAGAGAGATGGGGAAGTAAGCTCCAACGATGTTGAAAAGAACAAACCGCAGAAGAAGCCCGAGCCTTTCGAAGGCTTCACATATCGCATGATTTTTGCTGTTGTTTGTGCCAACGAAATTTTGTTCTACGACACCGACGCGCTCACGAGACCGTTTGCGACCGTCGAAGGCTTGCATTGCGCGGAACACACGGATGTTGCATGGAGCGAGGATGGACTAACTGTTATGTTGAGTTCAGTAGATGGCTATGTGAGTGTTATTACATTTGCGGAGGAAGATCTGGGGTCTCGATTGGGTGAGCAGCAAATGCCGAGATGGCTTCGAGAATACAGTCTGCAGAGGCAGCATTTGGATACGGGAAGGCCTGTCAACGCGACTCGGGTGATTGTTCCCAATGCGGTGACTCCGCGATCATCTAAAGTTCTGCCACGATCGGATTCTAAGAATATGAAGGCTGACGCGGCCGTGCCAGTGAAAATCAGTTAGGAGGGGCATTCAAGTGAAAGTTCAACCAACGAGTCTAAATTGAGTCTGGAGGTGTTAATGTGTTTACAATTGGAGGTCTCATTGAATGAATCTCATTGAATGAATCCTCCAAGCTCGAAAGAATGGACACCATGGCGTTGAACGGTACACGAACATACCTGTTCCGCCTCCCCGAAAGACACAATTCTTCGCGATGCCTCAAAAACTTTGAAGGATTTAAATGGAACTGCATAGACAAGCTTTACCGCGCTTTATGCAATCGCACCAGCATTGCCTAAGGGGTATAATTATGGAATGCTCTCTGCCTGCTTTGATCTGGCCTCGCAGACACCCTGCGCCATCGCACCTGAGTAATAAGCCTACTGTGCTGGACTCGCGGATCATATCAAAGAAGAGCATCAAGTGAAAGGACGGACGGATACTTGAGCGCGCATCAGATTCATTCGTTTTCAAATTCTACCAAGGGGGGGCCCTGCGAGTTTTCTCTGTAGCTCATATTCTGCCGTTACGCCCAACGCTTTCCTTCTACGGTCGCACCACATCCCTGTACGACGCGTTTCAAAACGGGGCTGTATAGCTTGTCGGAAAGATATTTTTGTACTGTACTGTAGGGCAGCGTTTGTACGCCGTACCCAAGGGTACTGGCTACAATATTATTAACTGTACAGTACAGTAGTGCTTTAGTATGAGACGCAACATTGAACAATACCTTTCCTCGTTGCTTCTCATCTATTCCCTGTGTTGCCATGCTTCTACGCGAAACATACTTTGTCGACCCCATGTGGGATTTCAAGGGAAGAATATGCTGCAGAAATGCGTGTTGAGTTGAGGTCCACCATGAGCCCGGCAAATACTATTGCATACTCGGTAACAGAAGCGTATGAGGGGAAGCAGCGTTCCGGAAAAGGTCCACAGGCGCCAATACTTCAACACTTCAAAGTTGAGCACTGTATGATACTGTAGTATTTGTATTCTCTTAGTGATTGTATCAAGGAGGCGATCTCTGGTAAGTGGTGAATGGAACCATGCCTGAGTTGTTGCCTGTATCGTCGGGGGGATTTGAAAACGTGAGGAGCCAGCCCTCATCTATGAGAAGGATGTTGTTCACTACAGTAGAGGTTCTCACTCGCTGTGGGCAAAAACAGATGCATCGTCATCGTCACCGCCCTTAAACATAATCCCATCGGTATCGTAAGGCAGACAAATTTAGATATCGCGAACACTGCTTTGATGCGATAGGCATTTGTGGAGGAGGCGGTTCCCTCATTTTCCTACTGGAAACTGATACGTCTTGCGCGCAGGGTGGGACTTCGAACTGCGAGCAAAACAACGACCTACTGGTTCCACGACATCACGACGTGGCCATCAAGATTTTCAGAGCGCAATTTTCGACGGTGTTCTACTTGCTGAAAGTGTCTGAACTGTGTGCCACTGCGAAGATTGCTGCTGAACTGAATGCCACAGATGTGTTTGGTTCTCGAAGCCAAGGTGGACATGGCCACTGTCTGATGCTGATGCTGTTGTAGCATCAGGCAGCGGCCAGCACACCTTCCGCGACACTCGGAAGATGCCTCGGCCGCGGGCGTGCGTGTCCATGAAGAGGATACACTACGTATAGGTCACGGAACAGCGATGAAGACGAGGAGGGGACAAGTATATCCCCCAATGATGTCAAAGACACTTGGCACAAAATAAAAAAAAATGCAATTCTTCTCTTTTGCGTAACATCTCTCTCTCAACGTTGGAAGCACTGCGCCGCTGGTGACCTTGTTGCGGCAGCGGTGTCACCAATGACAGACCAACATCCACATTGCTTTTTCTGCACGCCCCTCACTGAAAGCCATCGTTGCCGCCCGAAGCAATACAGGCCTGTGAATCCATGTGCAGTGCCAGGCGCTTCTCCCGTTGTGAGCAACATGCGAGGCGTTGCCTTGTAGCACGCCCCCAAAAGGTGTTCGTATGAGCCCAGCTGTGTGCGTTGCTCAAACTAGCAAGACATCCGCTGCCCATTTGAAGAAAACAGCCCCGTGCAGCATTGCCCACTCAAGCCTACCCTTAAAACATATCATTGTAAATCGACAACTTGTACTTCTTCCATTGTCGCACTGCAGTGCTCGACATAGAAACCAATTTATTTCGTGACGCAAACCAAACAGGCTGCCTGTTGCTGCCAACAGGGTCCTCAAATCTGGCACGGTTACAAAATGCGTCTTCCCCACAGGCGCGTCAGTCCTACAGAAACACAGTCCTACAGAAACATTTTTAAGCCCATCCTCTGACCGGCTTTCGACATCGTCGCCTCAAACTTCCCGCGTCCAACTGCAGCCTCCACAATGCCGTTCGCTTCTTCCGTAGGTTCGGTCAACGACCCCATAAGCTTCGACGCATCCCTTTGTTCATCTGCATTGGATAGCCCACCTACGGCCGAGCTCTTCTTCGACCTTTCCAATGGAAAGGAGGACGGACGAATTCTCATTCCTTCCTGGGGCACCTCCTTCGACATCACTCGCAAGAATGGGGCCAGTTCCTGGAAAATGAGCTCATCTCTCACGGACTATGCACCCCTTGCTGCGTTTAAAGAACAATGGTGGCGACGATCCTTTGAGATTACAGAACAAGGCCGTCGCTATATATTAGCCCCGAGCAAGACCTGCGGCTCTGACTTTGTCGTCAGGGCCGTTGAAATGGAAGTCGAACTTTACGGCGGGAAGGGCCTTGGCGAAGTCGTGGGTGAACTTAAAATGAAATGCAAGCGTGAATGGAAGTACGACGTCAAATTCGACGAGACTGTTGGGAGGAGGTTGCCCGCGTTTTGCTTCTGGCTCGTTACTATGATGAACAGGAGACAGTTCATGCGCGATGTCTTTGAGTGGCAGTTTGGCCAGGCCATGAACTCCTCACTGGCCGTTCTCTGTTGGAGGCGTCTTAGGGGTCAGACGACGAAGAAGATGCAGAATTCGGAAAGCACAATTCCTGTACCAACCACGCTCGAATTGCGGTGATCCATGCATCTATAGATTAGCACTGATATCGTAGAGGATAGCTATTTAAGCAACTAACTGCGTGTTAGTCTTTTGCATGACTTGCATTGATGTTGACAAAGCCTATAACTTTCACGGAGGTCCACGTATTGGCGACAGGGTATATTTGCAAGCCCATCGGCAAATAGTGCTGGACTCCCAACCTCGCACTCTCTGCTGTGTACTCCTGTACTGCCGTCAACTAACTCCCCGAGCAATCGCCTGGAACTTCAGAAACTCCTCCCAACATAAAAGAGTACTCACAGTCGCACATCACAGAGCTTCATCTATTTTCATTCTAGAATCGTTCGTCTTCCTTTTGCGTGAGGATAAACTATGCCATCGTCTTTTGAGTCTGAAAGCCATAGCAAGGGAAGTCGTGTCGAAACAGAATTCTTCACAGAAAAGGCAGCTGCCACACATCTGTGGAAAGAGGACATACCAATCATAAACCAGCCATTTTCGTACCTCACTGTCGAAACGGGGTGCACATGTTCCACAAGGGAGACCGTAATTCGAAAGGACATCATCCTTGAAGTCTGTCCGAAGCTCGTCTCATGGCCGAATCGCGGAGGCAATGTGATGTTTGTTTATCCACGCCAAAAGCCCGATGATGACCGTTGTTTGTAAGGAAAATAGAATTCAGTTTTGCGAAGTGTGTAGCCTCCGGGCGACGAAAATTTTGATGAGCGTCGAAGGACAGTGACGTACCATGTACTGTACACGTCATTCAGAAATCACGTTTTGACACACGTTTTAAGACACACCCTCACACCCTGCGGGTGTGTCTTAACATGCCCCGTTTTGCTGCGGTTTGCTTTGCTTTGCCCAAAGAAGTGATTTGGCGTGCTATGAGTGGCTCCTACGTTTTAATTTATGTGTTTAAGAAAAGCAAGGGCTTAAGAAGCATACGGTATTTGTTAAGAATTTAAAAGTATTCCTGGCAAAACCGGGCAAGGCAAAGCAAAAACCAGCCTGTTGAGACACGCCGGCGAGGGCGCCTGTTAAGACACGCCCTGAGGGCGTGTCTTAACAGGCTGGTTTTTGTTTGTCTGGTTTTTGGAGTGTCAAAACATTTTCACCACATCACTTTAGCAGTGAGTTGTATACTCATACAGTACGTGTACGGTATGCTCAGCTCGACGAGTCTAACGGAGTCGTGATGGACACCTCTGCTCGAATATAGAATCCCTGGCTTGGTTGGATACACTCGCGAGCACGAGGCCTACGGATCTATGGCACCAATTGAGTCAAACTGCGACCTTATTGATGCCGCTAGCTAGGCGACAACGTCGTGTTTTCAAACCGTGGTACGATTGTTGGACATGCCAGGTTGTGCCTTTTTAGCTCTGCTGGTTTCAGAAAACCAGTAAAAGTGTACATGTGAGCCAGGGACCTGCCGTTTGTTACTGTTGAGCAATGATATCTCAGACTTGTACTACAAAGATAAACGATACTAATTAAGTACTCTAACAGAAGGTTCGCAGGGCACCCGTGAACCATAGGGTAAGTACGAATTTCTGGAACTTTTGATACTGCCGTGTCGTGTATTGCGTTTCGAACCAAACAACGACTCATGTTTCATTTTGCGCTTTTCGCGCCTACTAGCAGAGCTGACGGTCAAATTTCCAGATGGGGCGCCCAAAGGGCAACGGCACTAATAAAAGAGAGGTGGACACGAACAGACGCCGATACTGAAAATTCTCATTACGGCAACCTCTCTGTAATTTTGACACCTCACTCTCTAAGATAGCTAGAGAGTCAATAATGGTTGTGCCATTACCGATAGAGCAACAGTGAAAGGAAATTGGAACGTGTTTACCTGCTGTTATTGACATTATGGTGTGTTACAATTCCCTTCGCGGTTCTAAACGTAGCTTGACCGCTGGATGCCGTCTGTGGTCGGTAATCGCAGAGGAGCGGACACACGCATGCATCTGAAAGTCATTCTGCATGGAAACATTGAAATTGAAATTGTCACTCCTTCCTATCCCACCAAGTAAGGACAAATTGCCTTTAAAATTGGCCCATTCCACATCCACGTGAAGGCTTGTAGGGGGCGGCAAAGTCGACGACTGTCAGAAACGAAACTAGACGCATTCAAAGGCCGAGATTCGAGCTTTGTCAGCTCGAAGCAGCTTCCGACTTCTTCTGTTGCCTTGCAGCCATTCGCGAAGCGTTGAAAGCGGACTTGACAGGAACAGCACCAATGGCCTTCGGAATATTGGCCTTGATCCCGATGGTGCATAACGTATATATAAAGCCAAAGGAGCAACTATACTTGTCCTTTCCATCTAGACCGCGGGAAGCAAAGGTCTGGATAAATTTGAAAGGTAGGAAAGGAAGGCGGGCGACGACGACCCCAGTCCAGGCGGCGGCCACTACGCGGTAGAGGAAGAAAAATGAGATGCCGGTAAGTATGCTACCGCGGAGCTTGACAGCATCCATGCTCTGGGAGGCAACCTTTAAGTCGTCTTCGATGGACTCGATGAGCTTGTCGTGCTTTTTTCGCTTGTCAACGGATACTACTTTTGCGTCCGCCTTGGCGACTGAGGTGAATTGCCAGATTTAAAATGTTAGCAGACTGTCGATAATCGTAGATTCCTAGAGATATGGAAAATAGTGCGTACGTTGTTTGTTGAGTTCTTTGACACGATCGCAGGCTTTCTTGTACTGATCTGTGCTATAGACGAGCATCCAAGTGAGGACTGCGTTGCGGTCGAATCGCATAGTTTCACATAGGGAGTTTTCGAATTCAAATATTTCATAGTTAGAGGTTGCATTTTGTGCGGGAAGCACAGTGAGGGATGTGGGAAGAAGAATACGCACAAGATCCTGCAATAACATACACTCGGCACAAAGCGTGGCACATACAACGATGCCAGCGATGGCGAAGGCGCCGTACGCATCAGCAAGGGTCATAGTATCTGGAGACAGATTTGAAACGCAAGAAGAGAGTGGTTTCAGGTTTCACACAGGGAAAAACTTGTGACAGTGGTGTCGTCGAGAGGGTGAGGTTGAAGGTCCAGGTCGGGAAGGGCTTAAGTCGACGGCTTTGAGAGGCTGGCGCAGGAAAGAGTAGTGACGTCATTTCTTCTGGGAACCTGAATCCTACCGCCCCCAGCGCAACACGTATTACACGTATTACAGATGTCTGCACGTTACCAATCGTGTCTAATGTGTACACGTGTTCTATGTGTGTATGCGGTGCCACGAAGGATAGAAGTCGACCAGGATCAAAAAAAGTGCCTTTCTGAGCCTAATTCGGTACATTCAATCAACCTCCGTCGGGACAGACGCAAAAACCCGGCCGATCCGCTTGTGCTTATGTATTAAGAGCATCGCCTCGACCTACAGCCTCCTTTTTTTCCGCCATCGAAGCCGGTCTGTTGCTTTCCGTCTTCTATCCTTCTCACCATGTCGCGCGCCCTCTTCTTTCTGTTGGCCGTTGCCCTCCTCCCCATCGCCCTCTGCGCGAAGGAGGAGACCGAAGACCTCGGACCAGTTATTGGCATCGATCTTGGAACAACCTACAGTTGCGTCGGCGTTCTCGAGAACGGCAATGTTGAGATCATCCCCAACGATCAGGGAAATCGTATCACACCCAGTTATGTCGCCTTTGCCGACGCCACTTCTGAGCGTCTCGTCGGAGATGCTGCCAAGAATCAGGCCGCCTCCAACCCGCTCAACACCGTCTTCGATGTGAAGCGCCTCATCGGCCGCCGCTACAACGAGCCCACGGTTCAGCGCGATAAGAAGCTGCTTCCCTTCCGCATTGTCGGAAAGGATGAAAAGCCTCACGTCGAAGTTGAGATCAACGGTGAGGACAAGGTCTTCTCCCCGGAGGAGATATCTGCTATGGTCCTTTCAAAGCTAAGGAAGACCGCAGAGGACTTTTTAGGCAAGAAGGTCACCCGTGCAGTCGTCACAGTTCCGGCCTACTTTAACGATGCCCAGCGCTCTGCTACCCGTGATGCGGGCGTCATTGCTGGTTTGGACGTCCTTCGTATCATCAACGAACCTACCGCTGCCGCTTTGGCCTATGGACTGGACAAGACAAAAGAGGAGGAGGAGAAGAATATTCTCGTCTTCGATCTTGGTGGCGGTACTTTCGATGTCACCTTGCTCACCATTGACAAGGGCGTGTTCGAGGTCCTTGCTACCAATGGTGATACCCATCTCGGAGGAGAGGACTTCGATCAGAGGCTCATGGAGTACTTTGTCAACCTTTGGAAGCGCAAGCATGGCGATGATATGAGCAAGGATAAGCGTGCCCTGGGCAAGCTCCGCCGTGAAGTCGAGAAGGCGAAGCGTGAGCTATCCTCCAAGACGCAAGTCCGCGTTGAAATTGAGGCGCTCTTCGGCGGGAAGGATCTTTCCGAGACTCTCACTCGTGCCAGGTTTGAGCAGCTCAACGAGGATCTGTTCAAAAAGACTCTCAAGCCGGTCAGCAAGGTCGTCAAGGACTCTGGCCTTAGCAAAGATGAGATTCATGAAATCGTCTTGGTCGGAGGATCCACCCGTATCCCCAAGGTCAAGGAACTTGTCAAGAGCTTCTTCGACGACAAGGAGCCGCACACAGACATCAACCCTGACGAGGCCATTGCCTACGGTGCCGCTATTCAAGCTGGTATTTTGTCTGGCGATCGTGATATCCTGAAGAAGAACCTCGTTCTCCTTGATGTCACTCCACTTTCGTTGGGTATCGAGACCCTAGGAGGTGTCATGAGCAAGATTATCAAGCGGAACACTGTTGTCCCGACGAAGAAGAGCGAGTCCTTCACCACGACCGTTGACAATCAGGACACTATTGCTGTCCACGTTTATGAAGGTGAGCGTGCGATGACCAAGGATTGTCACCTGCTTGGTCAATTCGATCTCACAGGCCTTACACCGGCACCGAAGGGCCAGCCACAGGTCATCGTCACCTTTGACATTGACGAGAACGGTATCGTGAAGGTTTCGGCAGAGGACAAGGGCTCGAAGAGCAAAAAGGAAATCACGATTGAGGACCGCAACTCCGGTCGTTTGTCGGAGGAAGAGATTGAAAGAATGGTTCGTGAGGCCGAAGACTACGCGGATGAGGACGCTGCAGTTTCTGCAAAGGTGGACGCGAAGCATGACCTTGAAAGCTACATCGCTAGCCTCAGATCCAAGATCGACGCGATGGGTTCCAAGTTGGCTTCTGACGATAAGTCAGATATCGATAGCAGCATCAGCGATGCTGAGACGTTCGTTCGCAACATTGATTTCTCCTCCACTGAAGTTGATGCGATCGAGGAACGCCGCAAGACACTGGAGGAGCAAGCAGTGCCCCTGCTTGGACCCGGTGCCGGTTACCAAGGCAAGGATGAACTCTAGGTAAGAGACTCGTCCTCTATGTTTTTCCGTATTTCGAGAGATCTGGTTGGGAGATGCATGTCTCTCTTACCTAGGCAGGTATTGCGGCACTGCTTGAACTCTTAGTTAGTCGTGACTGTCTAATCAATCTAGCAAGACTAGGGAAATTCTGCGGGGTATAACATTGAACAGGGAGAGTCCGTAGATTACAACTAAAGAATCCCGCGAGAGTTTTGCGGTTACTCCAAGCCTAGCATCACTTTTTTTGAGACTGCGGTGACGTACATTGCGTTTCGACTCTACTTCACGGAGGCTCACCGTTTTTTCATGCACTCTTCCTGCAATTCGGCAATCCCCTCATAATACTCATGCTCTTGCAGTGGAGGTTGCGCTGGCAGCTCAGTGCCGTACTCATCGATGTTACAGTAGGATATCATCTTCTCAAAGATAGCCGGGTTGCGAAAGTTCTTGTTCTTGCGCACCATTTCAGTAAACCCTGCCGATGACTTCGGGGCGGCCACTGCCGAACGCACCCACGCTTCTAGGTCTTTGTATACAATTCTTGCCTTCTTTACATCAGGATCGTTGTCTTCGGCTACAAGAGGCCCCTTCTCGGTGGTCTTCGGTGCAGATTCCTCGTCGTTGTCTTGCTCCTTATTCCGCGAAATTGATATTACCCGAAAGTCGTCTATGTCGGCATCGCTCATGAGCCACTCTTTCTTCGTGCCCTCCTTTCCCTGCTCTGTCATGACTTGAGTTCGTGCGGCAGGGCATGCGACCATGCGAGCGCTAATTCGCGAGCGCACATGTACGACGGCAGGACAGAAGATGAGAAAAAATGTATTTTGCAAATCAATTGTGCCCCATCTGACCCTGGTGTGGATAATATCAGTTTGACGGGTACCTGCGGCATGCGCTCACTTGAGACGAATTTGTCTAGACCATTAAGAGTATCACGTGCAGGTCAGAGAGAGCAGGCACGAACGGAAGATCGGAATCTGACAAGAAACAAAATTTTATGAATGTTCAAAAGTTAAAGGGTCAAAGTGTAGATTTTGGGGCGACACCCGGCCAAAGTGAAATCTACGTGGGGCGATTTCAATGCGGTGGGGGTTTTTATAGGGCGACACTACTAAAAAGTGCTTTGCTAGTAGGGTGATTTTGGTCCATGGTGTCCTTTTCAGGGGGTGACAATGCACGTTTTCTAGGGTGACAGAAAAACGATCGTAAAGTCACCTCCGACAAACTCATATTCGGGGATGTCACCCCATAAAAACGTATACCATCGTGGCATTTCGGCAGAGACCTAAATGTTAGAAAAGTCGCCCTAGAAATGCATGATTGTTTTAATGTCACCCCTATAAAAGCACGCCAACGCACGGTTTCGCGCTGGATAAAGCGCTCTCAAAACTGAAACAATATAGTGTGGCTATAGAGGCCGCCCAGTGCCCACCACAGTGGCATACGGTGACGCGCGGTCACGCGGCGTACGTTCCGCCTTCTGAACCCGCCATTTTTCGGCGTCTACGTTCCCCAGCTCCCCCCCGCGCACATCTCGCCGCAATGCCCTCACCCGTCTTCTTCATCGCCTTGCTCACCCTGCCTCTAGCACGGTGCACCACGGCCGCGTCTCCAAGTGACCCGGAACCCGCACCAAAGAGCCCGGCGCCCATCTCACGCGTGTCCATTAAGAACGGAAGTTTGTGCAGATCTCCGGGGAGGTGCAACATTCCTAGTATTCTTGGACACCATGAGCTGGGCGATTGACAGGGTGATGATTGGTGATGGCCGACAAGGGGCAAGCGGCCACAAAATGCAAGACGGCGTTTTGTACGCTGCCGCCGGATTGACAGGCGGTGACGAAAGTTTCTGGCCTATCGATGCCAATTCGATTACACTATCCCTTCACACGATGCAGGCTCTATTAAACGCTATAGATGATGGTACCAACGACTTGCCGCGCAAGAGAAAGTTTTTGCAAGAGATGTTCCGTCGACTGTATGCGTGGATGATGGCCCATCGCGGTGTGCCGATACTCATCGGTGGTATTGGGGCACGCGGTCAAATCACTGGATCAAGAAGGTTTGAGGTGCACCAGTATGGCCCGAACCTCGTGCGCAGCAACGACGATTCATGCGTGTCGGCTGCGCTGTCCAACGGCACTTGTGCGCTATATGGTACCACAGGAGGAACAAGCGTCGACAAGTACCTTCGGAAGCATCCGATGAAGATCAAAACACTCAAGCAACTCTTTTCTCTGGTTCACCAAATTCCCGCTCAACTATCAGTGCGCCGAGTTCCTAAAGCTGTGAAGAAGGCGTTCGATGCAAATCCTTTCAAGTGGCTTGCGCACCATAATCAAGGCGTGTGGATAGTCCGAATAGTGGAACACGGAATTGTAGATCATTGCGTTGCGCTGGACTGCAACCGTGGTATTGTCCATGATAGCGCTTCAAGGTATCCGTTCGCATTAACCGAAGATGTGCTTCGTCTCCTTGGCGGAGATGAAGCAAAACATTTGCGCGTGGCTGAAGTGAGGGAGCTAGTTAAAGTCCCTGTCAATTCCAAGAAGCCCTCACGCTGCTCGTGTTCATCCCCCGCCCCTCCCGCTCCTTCTTCGCCAGCTTGAAGTACTCGGGCGTCGAGCAGGGGAGGCTACATGCGTGGGTGCGCAAGTTGGAAGAGAGGGAGAGAAGGGTCGGCCAGGCGGAGGAAGCGGGAAAGGACCGCATTGCCGAACGGGTTGCTACCGTCGCGAGGAGGGGGTGCCAAGAGTTAACCCCCCGGACGTCGGTGGGAAGGCAGGGTCTTGATAGTTGGCGTCCAACTGCAGGCCGACAGTTGCGCACACCTCTGCGGATGCGTCGCCGATGATTGGAAGAGACAGGTCGGCCGTGATGGCAGGCCGAACGCCGACGAATCCCTCCACGCTCAGATCCAAGTCGACAGTCGGTCCGGTAAACACCAGATCACCAGTGCCGCCTTCGCCTGAAGAGGCCAAGGACTCGGGGTCAAACCCGATGAGACTGACCTCAACTTTTTGACCAGTTTCATAAGTCGCAGAAAAGGAAGCCACCGCTGAAGCCGAAGCCATGAGAGAGAGTTCGTAATCCACACTGGCGAACAATCCAAAGCGGATCGTTCCGACAAGGAAGATTTTCTTCTCAAAACCAGCCCCTAGAATGGGAACATTGAAAAGCTCACCAGATTGATTGTTTGAGAACGATGCCGCCGCTGAGACAGACCCTGACGCCTCCACCCTCACCCTTTGTTCCCATGTCGCCTTGGGTGGGAAGCGATCGAAGTCGAATTCGCACACTCCAGCTGTCGCCTTGATTCCCCAGGTAAGGTCCATGCCCGGCACGACCTCGGTGCTTCCGTCTTCATCGAAGGCCGTGATACCAATGTCGTTAACCCTAGCCACCGCCTTCATCTCCAGAATACTCTTCCTGGACTCCATGATGCGGGAAGCTGGGTTGACCAGCTCCCCAACGTGCACGGCCACGTGCGGCGCGACATCGGCACCGGAAACGTACCTCGTTTTCACGTGCACGCCGCCCTTAAAAATCGTGACCATCACGATCTTGCGGAAGACTACCTCGTCCAGAACGTTGAGCTCGTCCTTCACAGGTGGTTCAGGGCACCCCAGGGAAGCGTGGTCGTCTTTAGGGCAAGTGAGCACGTTGCCCTCTTCAAAGTCTTCCGCATCAACAGGGCCAACGAACTTGATTCGGTGCAATGTACAGACGTCGACGGTCACTCCATCAGCGGTAAGTTCCTCCCACGGGACAACGGGCATGAGAAGGTCGGCTTCGGTCGAAATCTCGCGAACTCCTTGAGCGTTTTCGACGCGGTCGTTCACGGTCACCTTACAGACATCACATGCTTCTTGCCTTCGACGGAAGCCGCAAGGAGCGCCGATAGGGCAAAGAAGATGTATTGATTCATGATTGCAATTGGAAATGCTAGTAACTTAGGCTGCATAGAACGCCGAGCAGCCGTCCTGGCTATCGACGCCTTGTTCGTCTTCCAGCGCGGCGGGAATGCTGTCGCGTTGTGAGGCCGCTTGGTGAGGACGCCCTCTCCCTTCGGCCGATGACCGTGCTCGATTGGTGCTGTTTGAACCGTTGCGACGGCCGAGGTGGCGGTGGGCCTCGGCAAGCAAGCGATGGGCGCGATGGGCGGAGGCGCGGAGGCGCGGCGATGGGCGGCGGGCGCTGGCACGAGGCTGAAAACGGCAAGGGAGCCACTGTTTGGCTCTTTGTGTATCTCCACGGCACACGAATCTCACGCTGCGCCCCAGGTGAGCAATATGAGCCGGTCGTTTGGACGTGGCCCGCCGCCACATTGTTCATGGCCAAACCATTGGCTGTTCTGAGTAGTTCACGGGACAGTGCCGATTGGATTTTCGATCTTTTGTATGCGCGGATTTTCGGGGGCAGGAGCTTGAAACGCGCGTGTGGCAAGGGAGAGTGAGGTTTTCGGCTCTGCTCCCGCCACTTGTTGCTTCTTGTTGGTCAAACTCGCCCTTGGCCATGTGCTCGTTCTTCTTCATCTCCTTGAAGGCCTCACGGGCCTTTTCCTTGCACAGGTCTGCGTACGGGATGCCGCCCATCTGCATGACGATGTGCGGCTCGATGGGCGGGGAGTCATCCAGCTCGTAGGTGGCGGTGGGCTTCTGGACCGGCTTGATGTCGATGGGCAGCGGCGGGCGGCGGTCCGTCGGGTGCATGGGCTGCGGCGGGAAGGAGTGGGCGGAGACGACAGGGTGGCGGGCGTATTGCTGGGCGTGCGGGTCATGGGAGAGGTGGTGCACTCGTATTGTTGATAGTGTAGGTTTCCCTTTCTTGTCTCTGGTGCGGCTGAAATGCAGCCGGAGCGATTCTTTCTGTCACTGTTTCATACCCTTTTTCATCTAGCGATGTGGCGCTCACTCCGACGACAGTGCAGGACTCATGAGTAATGTAGCTGCCTGGTTTGCGTATTAAAATGTTCTTGGAACAACGAAATACTTCTGCGGACATCACAGCCTGCCCTCTGCAGTCCGGATCCTCATTCATTGTCCAGCAAGGTCACCATATGGGAATCACTCCTATTGGCCTAGTGTCATGGTCAGAACGCATTCCGGCAATCAACAGGTGTCGAAGGTGGCCATTGTATCTCTCGGCAAGCTGTCCTCGTCATTATCCTGCCCCTACGAAGTACTGTATTTGCAGCGAAACTGATAATTCCACGTCGTTCGCTGATGCGCCGTGGATATCGCTCATATGGCTCGACCGT